TTTTCTAATTGTTGGAGATGACTTCATGGGTTAATTTGGGATTTTTCTCCTTTTTGGATGTGTGCATTTCTTGTTGTAAATGCCCTCTCAGCACTGTTTTTGCTGTGTACCAAAGACTTTGGTATGTTGTGCTTTTGTTTTCATTTGCTTCAAGGAATTTTTTTTAATTCAGTTTTGTATTTCTTCAATTACTCAGTAGCTCTTAAGAAGTGTGTTATTTGGGTTCCATGTATTTTTTTTTTTTTTTTTACTTGTTGTCCCTGTTGTTGATTTTATAGCATTGTGATCTGTGAGTATTTTGATGTTTTTTTTAATTTATTGAGACTTGTTTATAGCTTAACACATGGTCTATTCCGGAGAACGTTCCATGTGCACTGGAAAAGAATGTGTATGTATTGTGCTGTTGTTGGGTTGATTGCTGTGTACACATCTATGAGGTCAGGTCGATTGCTTGTGCTGTTTTTCCTAAGCCTTTGTTGAGTTTCGTTTTGGTTGTTCTGTCCTTTTTCGAAAGTGCTGTGTTAACATAGCCTACTATTTTTGCAAAGTTGTCTTTTTCTTTCTTCAATTCTATTAGAGTTTAAATTATGTATTTTGGTGCTCTTTTGTTGGGATCATAGATATTTATTATGGTTATGTCCTTTTGTTCAATTGACCCTTTGATTGTGAGATAAAGTCCTTGTTTGTATCTTATACTGGCTTTTGCCTTAAAGTTTATTTGATCAGATATTAATATTGCCACTCCTGCTCATTTTTCATTGCCATTAGCTTGATGTATTTTTTTCTATCCTTTCATGTTTGCCTTTAGGTGAACCCATTCTCCTAGTCCATCTGAGTGATTTACCCCCTCGACCCTGGCAAGCCTCATTACGCTGTCCCTTGGGCATGGCAGTGCTGGTCCTTCAGCTTTGGGTGGTGGCTCTACCTTCCAGACACTCAAGCATGGCAGCCTCACACTCTAGAATCAAACTGGTGAAGAGCTGACTCTAAGAAGCCATGCCTCCACCCCACAATTTGAAATGAATCTAACCCTGCTTCCCTTGCTCCTTCAGTTTTTCTGATCTCTGAGCTGCTTTCTTTTCTTACATCTGTGGGAGGAAAACAGATGTAGCTCCTTTGATCTATTTCCTTCTGTATAGGAAGCTGTTGTTGTTATTTAGTGCTGTGGAGTCAGTTTTGACTCATAGCCACCCCTGTATAGGGTTTCCTAAGAGCAGCTGGTGGGTCTGAACTGCAGACCTTGTGGTTCGCGGTTCAGTGCTGATCCTACAGTGCCATACCAAGTTAGATATCCAAATTCGGAGTGCCAGCTGTAGTTGTTGGCTCTGGAGGAAGGTTCTTACCTATTTGAACTCTGCTTCTGGGAGATCTTCATGTGGCTTGGCATTCTCAGTTCCCCCATATCTGCTTCCTTCTGTTATCTCTTTTATATCTCAAAAGATATTGACACAAATGGAACAAAACTCAAAATTATAAAAAAGATTGGTTTTACTGGTCAGAAAGAGGCTGGAGAAACCCAAGACTATGGTTCTTACCCACCCTTCAGGTCTGAAATGGAACTTACCCTCATGGTCCAGTTTTCAACCATGCGGTGGATAGGTATATGGGAGTGCAACAATGCTAATGAAATATGTTCACCATAGAATGGTCAACCATTCGAGATCAAAAGGGTAACATTTATGTGGAGACAAGGCTCAGAGGGGTTGGGAAGGAGGGTGGAATGGAAAAGGAACCACAGAGAGGAAGTGGGAAAACTATTGTTGCACGGAAGAGATTACAATCATTGAGAAGAGACAAAGTATATGATTTGTTGGATATAAAACTGACGATCTGCTCTATAAATCTTCACTTAATTCACAATAAAAAGTTACAAGAAGAAAAAAAAAAAAACATATTGACTCAAGAAAACCCTCCACTAATCTGATCTTGTTAACATAATAAAGACAGCCCTTTCCCAAATGGGATTATAACCACAGGCTTAGAAGTTAGAATTTACAGTAGATATTTTGGGGGGACACAATTCAATCCATCACATCTCTCAAAGAGGATTTTACAAATGGCATGTGGCCTATGATTTAAGTAAAATAATTTCAATCTTATCTTTCCAATTTGGTGAGGCAAAAAGCCTATCCAGCTCCTTTCAGAGACAAACAGATAAAGTTCTTGACATTCTCTAACTGATTTGTGTGGTATTTTCATTTTGTACCTCAATGGCAAACTATTGAAGCAGGAATAAGGTCTTACACTTTCTTTGTTTAGTCCATTCCACATGTCCTGCTGCTGGCCCATGGCAGGTCACTCAATACACATAGCTTAAATTAGAATCCAGAGTCCTGGTGTGGCACTGTGGGTTTATGCACTGGACTGCAAGGTCAGCTGTTCACACTCACCAGCTGCTCCTCAAAAACCCTATCCAGGGTCACTATGAGTTGGTACCAATATGACAGCATTTGACAATAACAAATTGGAATCCACTTCTCAAGAGATTCATGTTTTTCTTGATTTCTACGAGTCAGAATTGACTTGGTGGCCACTAACAACAACAGGAAGTAAGAGAAATGGGGGCAGTGGTGGGTCAGTGCTGGAATTCTCACCATCCATGTGAGAGACCCCGGTTCAATTCCCAGCCAGTGTACCTCATACACTGCCACCATCTGTCTGTCAGTAGAGTCTTACATGTTGCTATGATGCAGAACAGATTTCAGGAGAGCTTCCAGATTAAGATGGAGGAGGCAGAAAGGTCTGGTTGGTGATCTACTTCCCAAAATTAGCCATTGAGAACCCTACGGATCACAAGGATTCAACTCATAATTGCTTGCAGGCAGTAGTTCTTTCCTTTGTGCATAGGGTCCCCATGAATCAGGAGTCAGGGCCACAGAAAGTAATGAGAACAGAAAGAAATGAAATGAAGACAAATAGAATTCCAGAAGATAGGAAGGGAGAAAAGAACAGACTAGAGAACAAAAAGGGGTGCTTTGGAACTATTAGGGTGGGAAAACAGCAAGAACTCAAGTTGGAAAGGTAAGTGGCACCAGACTGAATGGTAACCTAAGGATCCTTTAGACCCAGTTTTCAACCTTTAGCCACAGAAATATCTAATTATTCAAAGTCTTATTGAAATACACTAAGTATAACAGTCAACAGCCCAGCAGATCTGGTTGAAAGTAGGGAGTCTTATAGGCCATCTGCTCGGTAACTCCTCTATCCATCCAAGTGCTCTTATCTCCCAGCACTTTGTCTGACAAGTAGGGGAGATCGTAGGGAGTCCTCAGGACTTTGAGGGACAATTTGAAAAACACTCCTGAAGCATTGGGGCAAGAAATTATGGCTGTTAAAACAGAGGGGAGGTTTTTGGTTAGATCAGGGGATAAGAAAATGTAAGTAGTAGGAAGGGCTCGAGAGAAGAGAGCGCAGCGGTGACCAGGGAGAGATGATGTCAGCCTGATGTTGGGAGTGGATTCAAGACCTTGTTAAAACTTTTGACAGATGGAGCCCACGTTAATAAGGGGACCAGAGAGAGATAGAGACCCAAACTAAGACAGTTGTTGTTGAGTTGATTCCAAACCATGGTGACCCCACATGTGCTCCTTGAAGCTTTTCCAGGCTGTGACTTTTTTAGAAGCAGATAGCCAAACCTTTCTTCTGAGGCTCCTCTTGGTGGATGGGTTCAAATCACCAACCTTTTGGTTAGTAGCTGAGCGCTTAAGTGCTTCTGCCACAGGGAAGCATGCATGGGGGAATCCAAAGAGCTCTGAGAACTGCCTCAGAGCAGTACTGATGACAAGGGGGAGCCTCAGGAAGGCCATACCTTGTGTCCTGAACCTGCAGGCCACAGGGGCTGGCTGGGAGAATGAGTAGTCAACTACTGTCCTCTGATTTCTAAACCAGCCTTGTTGTACTGTTGGGGCAGGGAAATCTTAGAGCCAAGTGCTAACCCTGCTAGGGTGGAGCAGGTCTACACATACCTTGCTGCAGGCAGTGTAATTTGCAAAACTATTTTTTTAAAGCAATTTGCATGCCATCAAGTCATAAAAAATGTTCAAGTCAGTCTACCCAGTAACTCTACAAATAGGAATTTGCCCTAAGGAGGTAGTTCAAAAGAATGAAAACCCTATGCACCTCCATCAACATGTTAGTTAATTAAATTGATGAAACAATTCATTTGAAAACCGATGTACTATACAACTATGCACCATCTGGGAGCTCTGCTAGGCAAAGGAACATGTTCACATGTCTATAATAGTCAAACATAATCAACAACCTAAATTATTTTAAATGCTGCAGTGGCTTGAATGTAGTTTGAGACATCCAGGTGATAGACTATTGTGCTTTAGTGCCGTCTGAAGCAAGTAGAATTCAAACAGCTGCTGTGCAAACTCATTTTCTCTTGCGTTTACTGCCTAGGCTTGAATTCTGTGTCCTTGGCAAAGTCGTTGCTGCCTCTAAGGTCTCAAGTGAATGGTAGACATAGCGCTTAATCCATTGTTGTCTATATTAAAAGAGAAAAGAGATGCAATGTGTTTAGGACAATGCCTAGCATGTGACAAGTACTCTGAGACTCTGGGTGGTATAAACAGTTAACTTGTCAACTACTAACCAAGAGGTTGGTATTTCTAGTCAACCAAGAAGTACCTCTACTTGCAAATCATCAGCCATGGAAAGCCCTATGGGGCACAGTTTTATTCAGATACATATGAGGATGCCATGAATCAGAACTGACCATACAGCAACTGGGTTTTTTGGGGGGACAAGTTCTCAAGCAACATGAACTATTACTTTAACTATGTAAAAATTTGATCAGCTGACAAAGCCTAAAAGAGACTGACCCAAACTTATAGCCCCAGGAAATATTATAGGTGATTTGCCTCCCATATCTTACTGGCTGTCATTACATAAAAGCCTTCAAGGGTATAGGTGTTGGAGAAAATAAGCTAACAGTCAAAGCACTTTGACCTGTTAGCGGTCAGAATGTCACGCTGGTCTGTGATTTATTTTTCCAGTGGTGTTTGGTCAGCGCTTGGATGAGACTGTTGCTTATGAACAGAAATTCGGTCCCCACCTCGTGCCCATCCTGGTGGAGACGTGTGTGGAGTTCATCCTGGAGCATGGCCTGAATGAAGAGGGCATCTTCCGCCTGCCTGGCCAGGACAACCTGGTAAAGCAGCTGAGAGATGCTTTTGATGCAGGGGAGCGGCCCTCCTTTTCCAGGTATGCTGTCTTTCCTTGCAATTCCCCGCCCCCATCCCCCCACTCATCTCTGCTCTGCTTGCCTGAGAGGACTCCTCCTGGTTGAACTATGGGGTTTGAGCAGACATTTCCAAGAGCCCTGCCTTACAACTGAGCTCTTTGTTTAACTTGTAATTCAAAATTTGGGAGCCTGGAGTACAGTTAGGAGTGTGTTGACATTTTATGTGAGAAATGATGTGGACCAGATTCAAGAGAATGTAGAATATAAGGAAACGGGAGAAAGATGAGGCTTAGCCTAATGTTCACACATGGAGACAGGTAAGGAACAGCACGGCTGAACTGGCTGAACAAACCTGAGTCTATGCTGGAGAATGCCCAGTAATTAGAACCAAGGGCTCCAATAGTCTTACTCAGATTTCCACAAGGGGCCAGAACCAGGATTCCTCATTAGTTTGGCAGACCACAAGCCAACAAACCAAACCATTTGTCATCAAGTCAGTTCCAATTCATTGCCAAATCCATATGTGCCCAAATAAAACTGTACTCTATGTGATCTTCAGAAGCTTGCCAGGCCTTTCTTCTGCGGCACCCCTGGGTGGAGTAAAATCACCAATCTTTTGGTGAACAGTCAGGTGCTTAATCATTTGCACCCCACTTCCTTCTGAGCCCTTTTTAGGGGAGCTTGTACTGAAGTCTTGGCAGTGTGGGGGACTCCCAAGTCTCCTCTGTGCTCTGTGGTGCACAGCAATACAGTACCATTCTCTCCTACTCCACCCCTCCAGTCACCCAACAGAAGTTTTCTTCTCTGCCATGCTCAGTGAACACAGTGCCTCATCCCAGCAGGGCACAGCCCCGCTGAAGGCACAGTATTCAGCCCAGGTTGCCTGCTTGTACTTGTTTTGCTGGTACAAGAATGATGCTGTTTCCAAACAAGCAGCACATAAACCTGAATTCTATCCCGGTCCCAAAGGTTGAAGTTACTTACCCAAGAGCTTACTTAGAACTGAAGATTGGGGCTGATTCTGGGATAATTGTAAAAACCTAAGTGTAGTGTTTATGTGCACAGTCTCCTTCATGGTCCTCTCCTCTCCTCCCACTCTAAGCACCATTGTGGCTCATTCTTCCTCCCAATGATCTCTGAGCTCCATCACCTGCCCTCCATTCCTTCAATCACCATCTTCATTTGGCCCACCACACTCCTGACCAGGCATGCCATGGGCTCCTTTATCAAGAGTATTGTATTTTAACAGGGGTCTGCTAGAGGAACAATGGGTGGAATTGTTTCTGGAACAACAGCAGGTTATGGGCACTACATTCTAGGGCCTTTCAGTAGTGGAGTCCTGGTGTGTCGCTGTGGGTTAATGCACCAGAACACAAAGCCATTTGAACTGCAAGGTCAGTGGTTCAAGCTCACCAGTGGCTCCTCGGAAACGCTATACAGGGTCACTATGGGTTAGAAGTGACTTGACAGCACTTAATAACAACAACATAAATCACATTTCACTATTAGGAATCTGCTCATTTATGCCCAACTCCTTTATATATTTGATGTGTTTCTGTTTTTATTTAGTTTTGAGTTGATTGAAAGATACAGGTTGTTGCTAAGCAATGTAAACAGTAAGCCACAATGACTAGAGGTGATGACTTCAGCTGCCAAATAACTACCCTAGACTTTGGCCAAAAACCAAATCCACTGCCATCGGGTCGATTCTGACTCATAGCAGCCTTATATAGATTTTCTAGGACTAAATTGTTATGGAAGAAGACTCCCTCATCTTTTTCTTATCTTGCCCTGGTTAATTTGTGGGTGGAAAAGGTTTTCTTAACCTGAGACCAGTGCTCAGAGGAGACCTCGTCCTGATATTTCCAAATATAGCTTAGTAACACAGACAAAAAGCAGTCACACATCCAAAATTCAGTCTTGTAGACCCTAGGCTCAGCCCTGGGAAGACCCTGAAAAACTCCTGTAAACTCTACTTGTCAGTTTTAGGAGTGACTGGTGGATGGGTTTGAACTGTTACTTTCCCCATAGTGCTACCAAGGGAGGATTCATCAGAGTCTTTGGTTCCTCTGAGATCTTTTGGGCAGAAAGGAAGAAGGTCTCCACATGTTTTCATGACAATTCCTCCCCTAAAACTGAAGACTAGAGTTTACATATCTACAAATAGGAAGGGTCCCTGTAGTTCTTCAGGATCCTCCAAGGGGTGACTTGAGAGGACAGATCTGGGTTTTGGATGTGTGATTGCTCCTCATTTGATTCTTGCTACTTAGCTACACTTGGAAATATCAGGAGCACAGGTCTCCTCTGATCATGTGTCTCAGTTAAGAAAACCTTCTTTTCCACCCACAGATTTACTTACCAGGCCAAGGTCTCCCACAGACTATTGCCCTGGACCTGGCTTGTAGAGCCAGCCAATTTTGTCTTTGCTGCCTGACTTTCTATTTCTGTGCCCTTTGTGATGTAATTCAAATGTCTAATATTCCACTGGAGTTGAGAGTTAGTAAATTAATTTCACACACATTTTCTGACTTGATCTTCAAAACAAAGCTTCAAAACATTACCATTCTCCAGGGATGAAGCAGCCTTAGACAGCGTAAATATCTTATCCACCAAGGACAACTCATTCCTGGACTCCAGAGTCTTGGTCTTAGATTTTCTGACTCCCAGGTCACTTCCCTTACTCTGTCTTCCTTCAGGTTAACAGTCTCAGTGCGGTCTCCTTTTCCACTTCCACGTAAGACTCATACTCAGGAAATGATCTAATAGTGGTCACACTCACTTCAAAATTTGTCTCCCTTCTCCTGGGTTATTGGCTTTGTAACCCATTTACTATGGCTGTAGTTTTTTTGCCACTGTAAAACGAATTTTAGGCATCAGTGAATGAAATAGAGAGGAGCTGGGAAGTCAGGGGTTCTGACATTACATCTTATGGATAATCATCTAGCTATCTACATTGATCAAACACTGGCTTCACCCCAAGAGCCCCAAGTTAAATGAAGAACAAAGCTAAACCCTAAACCCAGTGCCGTAGAGCCAAGTCCGACACATAGTGACCCTATAGAGTTTCAAAGACTAAACCTTGATGGGAACCGAAAGCTTCATGTTTCTCCTCTGGCGTGGTTGATGGGTTTGAATTGCTGACCTTGAGGATAGCAGTCCAGTGCTGGTCCTACAGCGAACACCATTAGGGATCCCTGAAGAACAAAGGAGCAATTATTTGATAGATTCTGGTGTCTGTTCTCATTAAACAGTATAAATATGAATATAAAATCTCTTTGTCAAGCTTCGCTGGTACTGAATTCTGCCTGGTCACACAGCTGATAGCTTTTGATACAACATTTCTGTGAAAAATTACCATCAGACATGCCTTGGTGCTACTTGGGAAGGGCCAACAGAAGCTTGGTGAATCCCTGGTGGATCAGGTATTGATCTCAGAAGCCCTCTGGCTCCTGACTTGTTCCTAGTTTTTGTTTTTATTGTTTTTGTTAATTCTTTCATGTAGGGATGTTTTCTTGGGTTGGAGCACAGTCAAGAAAATTCATGCTGGTTACTTAGACCATAACAATACTGTCTGAGTCAGCCTTATTACAATGGGGCACAAACTTGAAAGCAAAAATTTACAGAAGTCACTGTAAAGTCACCTTTAGCTCTTTATCATTTTCATAGATGAAGTGCTAAAAGTGTAAAATAGAAGATGCAAGGAGAACTTACAACCAAGGACGTTTCAGTGTCAATTATGTGATCGTTTACATGAGAGAACATTAGTTTTACATTCATCTTATCGTATATCATTTCATTGCTATGGTTACAATCCCCTCCATGCATCATCAACCAACCAAAGGGGCCTGCCCCTTCTGCGCCTCGCCACCCCCCATCCCTCCCCCCATCCCAGCCCGGTCGTCAGCACACAGTTCCTCTCCCTCTCTGGATCTAAAGTCCCCAGCTGCTCCATCTCTCCACATCATCGTCTCTGCCTCCATCTCAGGCATCACTGTTTCTCTGGGTAGGGTTCCACTCTCTGCTCTTCTCCCTTCATGGTACAACCGAGGACTTTTGATATGGTCTCCTAGGTGTAGGAAGTTCCCCCAAGAAATTGACATTTAAGCTGAGGCCCCACTGCTAAGCTGGAGAGGAGAGTCCAGCTAAGCACTCTTTGAGTCTGGTGACATGAATTGAGAAATTTTCTGCAGGTTTCAGTACTTCAAGATGCTTGATATAGTGCTATAGATAAGCATTGGACTGCTAACCACAAGATTGGAGGCTAAACCCACCAGCTGCTCCTTGGAAACCCTAGACATTGGGTCAAAACTGACTAGATGGCACTTAAAAACAACTGTTCTTTTATCTTTTCTCAAATGTCCGTGTTACACCTGTGGTTGTAATGGTTATAATCGTTTTCTGTATTTTAACTTGGCTGAAAAGGAGCTCTGGTAGCGTAGTGGTTACGAATCGGGCTGTGAACCACAAGGTCAGCAGTTCGAAACTACCAGCTGCTCTGTGGGAGAAAGATGAGGCTTTCTACTCCCGTGAAGATTTATAGCCTCGGAAACCCTGTACAGGGTCGCTATGGGTCAGAACTGACTCGATGGCACTTAACAACAACAACAAAACAACAATGTTTGCTGTCTTAATTTCTCCTCATTAAACTATCTCATAGTTTATCTCTTATTTGTCTTCAAAAGTTCTAGATTTTTTCTGAAAATTTTTTTATTGTGATGAAATATATCAAACAAAGCATCTCAACCATGTTTACAGAAGCAGTGTTATAACTCTAATTCTGTTCCCTCTTGTATAACCACTACAACCCTAATTTCCAATGTTGTCTTTACCTTTAGAAATTCAGTGCACCTACAGCAAAAATTCTCCACTTTTTCTTCCCATTTGCCCAACTCGAACCACTATGCTACCAGAGCTGGTGGAGTAGAAAAAGTAGGAGTTTTAGAGGGATTCACATGGCATTTGAATAGTAGAATTGAGGCGATTGGAGAGAATCATTGGAAGGGTGCTGGTAGTTGAGGGAAAGACCCAAATCAAACCCAAATCTTGGGTTTAGATCAGGGGAACCTTTTTTTCTGCCAAAACTTGTAACATCATTCATGGGCCATGCAAATTATCAACTTAAAAATTAGCCTGATATACTTAGTCAAACAATTCATTGTTGTTGTTGTTAAGTGCTGTCGAGTCGGTTCCGTCCATAGGGTATCCAGGAAGCAGCTGGTAAGCTTGAACTACCGAACTTGCAGTTCAAAGTGACTTTACAGTCCAGCACATTAACTCACAGCACCACACCAGGACCCCAAAACGTTTAATTAACTCACCCCCTAAGGTGATGGCTTAAGGAGCTCTGGTAGCATAGTGGTTATGAATCGGGCTGCTAACCTCAAGGTCAGCAGTTTGAAAATACCAGCTGTTCCACAGGAGAAAGATGAGGCTTTGTGTTCCCGTAAAGATTTACAGCCTCGGAAACCCTGTACAGGGCTGCTATGAGTCGGAACCGACTCCATAGCACATAACAACAACAACAAGGTGATGGCTTGGAGTCCTGGTGTGGCGCTATGGGTTAATGAGCTGGGCTGCAAAGTTGGTTTGAACCACAAAGTCTGTGGTTCAAGTTCACCAGTTGCTCCTCGGAAATCCTACAAAGGATCGCTGTGGGTCAGAACTGACTTGACGGCTCCTAACAGCAACAAGAAAACAGTGTGATGGCTCAGAGTCCTGGTGTGGCACAGTAGTATAAGCACTGGACCACAAGGTAGGTTTGAACTGCTCAGTAAGTGGTTCAAACTCACAAGTCACTCCTCAGAAATGCTTGAAAGGGTGACTATGAGTCTTAACCAACTCGAAGGGACTTAACAACAACAGTGATAGTTGGAAATGCTCCTGCCTTGACAGGGCCAGACCAAAGGATTTTGCAGACCTTATACATCTCTCAAGGAGCTCTGGTAGCATCATGGTTATGAATTGGGCTGCTAACCTAAAGGTCAGCAGTTCGAAACTACCAGCGGTTCTGTGGGAGAAAGATGAGGCTTTCTGCTTCTGTAAAGATTTACAGTCTTGGAAACCCTACACAGGGTTACTATATGTCAGAAAAGACTCCACGGCACACCATACCCCCCATACAGCCCGCAGGCCTTACGTTCCCCACCCCTCATTTAGAGTAAGACAAAAATTCTCGATATACATTCACAGAGGTACTTTTCCCAGCCTGGTTTCACCTAGTGGTATTTTTAGGCAGTGACTCATCAGAATCCCCATGGTAAGTGAATGGTTCCCACCCTAGATTTCCTGGGGTGGGCGGTGGCAGACAGAGCATAGACAGGGTTTTGTGGCAGCCCCTGTTTCTCCTTTTGAGGTACAGAGTTTGTAGGCTACAAAGGGGGAGTCTTTCCAGAAGTCGCCTCCAACAGCTGGCTGTCTGAAAACACACAAAAAAATTTACACAAAAAAGAGACAAAGCTTAACAATCAAGCCCTGATGTTCTTGTTTCCACTACTGGCTTCCTTCTCTTCCTCCGGTCCAGTCCACGCCTCTCCTCTCCCACCCAGGTGGTATTTCCACCCACACAATTTTTATATTTGGAGTTTCTGAGGGGTGCAAGTAGTTAAGTGTTTGTCTGCTGACTGGAACCCTGGGAGTATGAATCCATCCAGAGGTACCTCGGAAGACAGGTCTGGCAATCTACTTCCAAAAAAATTAGCCATGGTAAACCCTGTTGAGTAAAGTTCATGAGTCCACTTGTTATCTTCCTCATCATTGAAATCAAGGAGATACTCAGATTGTCTACATCCCTTATCACATTTGAATGCTACCTAAGAATGTCAGTTTGTTGTGCTATAAAGAATATAAGCGTTTGTGTTTTTGATGAATGCTCTTCAAGTATATGATAGACTCAGCCTTATTTTCTCTTGCAGAGCTGCAGAATAAATGCAATAACCCTGTAAACCTGGGGTTGGCAAACTTCTTCTTAAAGGGATATATGTTAAACATGCCAGGCTTTGCAGTCCAGATGGGCTGTGTTCTAGCCACAGATAATATAAGGACATAAATGAAGCAGCCATGGACAACAGCGAAATAAATGACTGTGGCTATGTTTTCATAGAACTTTCTGGACACTGTAATATGGATTTCATATCATTTTCACATCATGAGATATTCTTCTTTTCCAATGATTAAAAATTGTAACAACCACTCTTAATGCTCAGACCACATAAGTACAGGCAGTAGGCCCGATGTGGCTAGTGGGACACGGTTTGTTGAAGCTGCTGTAAACCTAGAAGCTGAACTGAAAAGCCTGTGTCTCTTTCAGTCATTCAGGTGATCATTTGAATGTTGTCTCCCTTCCCACATGAGGGTCTCCTGTTCCCCCTATTCAGGCTGATACCCATGCTGCCTGCCCAGGTTGTACCTTTCGTCTCCTGCAGCTCCTCATCACTGTTCAGTTCTCATTTGAGGGTCTGCTGCAGTTTTGTAAATCTGGATTGGGTGTCCAGTCTCCATATTTCCATACAGTTCTGCATGCTGCATTTCCTTATCCTGGCACCTTTTGCATTGTACTGTCAGGACCTGGTAATGTTTGTGTCCCTCATTGCCATGTGACTCAATGAGGCCCATTACTGAAATGCCAGCGCCTGGCACAGTGTCTTGTACCTAGCAGGACCTCAATGCTTATTGATTGAGTAAATGAAAGACTGAATGGCAGAACGATTTAGAGCATTCCAGGGATTAAAGCGCTCTGGTAGCATAGTGGTTACGAATCGGGCTGCTATCCTCAAGGTCAGCAGTTCAAAACTATCAGCTGCTCCGTGGGAGAATGATGAGGCTTTCTGCTCCTGTAAAGATTTACAGCCTTGGAAATCCTGTACAGGGTCACTATAAGTTGGAACCGACTCCACGGCACATAACAACAACAGTGATTAAAGGGAGTCCTGGTGTGGTGCTGTGGGCTAGTGTGCCAGACTGCAATGTCATTTGAACTGCAAGGTCGGTGGTTCAAACTCACCAGCTACTCCTTGGAAACCCTATACAGGGTCACTATGGGTCAGAATCGACTTGACAGCACTTAACAACAACAACAAGGGATTCAAGAGATCAATGAAACGTGCATATGGAGACCTTAACACTTGGCAAACTAGAGATGACTTAGGGAATGCTGAGATTTGAAGTGGGGTCATGGTGTTGTGCTGTAGGATAAACACTGGGCTGCTAACCTCAAGGTCGGTGGTTCAAACTCATCATATGCTCCTTGGAAAGCCAATTCAGCGTCCCTGTGTCAAAACTAACTATACAGTACTTAACAACAACACAAGTTTTGAGATACTCTGATTTGGCGAAAGAAGGCACCAATGAAGACTAAAATAGTTACAGAATATTTCACGAAAAAGTGGATCTTGAATTTACCTTTAAGGCAAATGGGAAAAGAGATAGTAGAAAAGTATTGGGGTTTATTACTGTCAATGCTTTGGTCTGATGCATTGCTGTTGGTGTTGCCTGCCATCCAGTCATCTCTGACTCATCGTGACACATGTACAACAAAGCCTAACATTGTCCGATCCTGCATCATCTTCCTGATCCATTATCTATAGCTGCAGCCATTGTATTGTACCTTCCAACCTAGGAGGCTCATCTTCCAGCACTATGTTGGACAATATTCCATTTTGATCCACAGGGCTTTTCATTGACTAATTTCTTAAAAATAAATCATCCAGTCTTTTCTCCTACTCTGTTTTAGTCAGGAAGCTCTGCCAAAACCTGTTAGTACCTCAAATACTTGTATTTGTGGCATATCTTCCAGCATCATAGCACTATGCAAGTCAGCACAGTAGGACAAACTGACTGATAGACGGTGTAATTCACTACTCTGAAAACAGTTCCCGCTAGAAAGTAGGATGCTCTTCAGCGAATGACCAGGAAAAAGATAAGGACAGCTCTGGAGTTTTTCTCAAAGAGCCTGGGTTATTATCTTCCAGAGACACAGATGTGCACACGGTGGCCTCCCTGTTGAAACTCTACCTCCGAGACCTCCCGGAGCCGGTGGTTCCCTGGAGTCAGTATGAAGGCTTTCTGCTCTGCGGACAGCTAATGAATGCAGATGAGGCAAAGGTTTGTATCTCATTCAAGTTAGATGTCTTGCTCTGGAAGAAATGAATTGGTTTCCTAAATGCTCCTCTGATAGGCAGCAGGAGTGGGGCATACTTTCCTGACAATGACTCCCACTACTGAACTTCCACACTTTAGATCTGCTTCTACCAACTTGTCTCAATTTCAGCCTATTTGACAATGTCTTCATCATTGACAACTCACATCTGACTGGGCAGAGGGTCTAAGGCTTTTCTTACCAGTGAAATAATTTGTTCCCAATACTGAAGACTAACCTGAAGAGAAGAATAGCTCAGTATTGGGAAGAAAGCAAGTACACTGGATGCTGTTGCTAACTGCATTTGAAAATAGGCAGTCCCGGGGATGGAGTTCTGATGTGGCAGTGAATAAGCGCTGGACTGCTAATTGGAAGATCAGTGGTTCAAAACCAGCAACTGTGTCTAAGATAGGGTCCCTATGGATTGGAATTAACTTGACGGCACTCATCACAGCCACTAATCATTGAAGAGGCTTTGGGTCTTTTCTTGCACTAAAATTAAACAATACAAAACACTGATTCTGACGCATAGGGACCCAATAAGACAGTACTCTGTCTTTCCTGACAATGGCTGCTCCTTTAGGTTTCCCAAACTGTAAATCTTTATGGGAGCATAAATCTTTATGACAGCCTCATCTTTCTCCTGCAGAATAGCTGGTGGGTTTGAGCCACTGACCCTGTGGTTGTTGTTGTTAAGTACCGTGGAGTCGGTTCCGACTCATAGTGACCCTGCACAGGGTTTCCGAGGTTGCAAATCTTTTCGGGAGTAGAATGCCTCATCTTTCTCCTGCAGAACCGCTGGTAGTTTTGAACTGCCAACCTTGAGGTTAGAAGCCCGATTCATAACCACTATGCTACAGCAGCCCTATAATTAACCCACTGCACCATCAACGCTCCTTTTTCTTGCAGTAAGATGACGCCCAATAAGAACACAATGCACATTTTCCAACTCACCTACCAATTCCACTTTAAGACTTAGACTTAGTTAGGAATGGATCTTGGGTGTAACCTGGGAACTGCAGGTACAGAGGATCTACACCACAGTGTTGTGTATAAACTGCCAGGGCCATGGGCACATTTCCTTGAGTTCTGTGAAGACGAGCCATTGAGGTTTTGAGAAGACCCCTGGTCTCAGGTGAACTTTTGCACCCACAAATATTCAGTGTTTGTAAGATGACGATTTGTAAGATGACGCTTACAAATCGTGCAATCAGCTGTGACTGAAAAGAACAAACAAAACCTCCCTGTTCTCCCTCTACCTGGCACATGCATTTATTATCTCATCATCCCTGGTACTCAAGGTCAACACAGCTGAATAGTCCAGCCTTGCCTCCTCCCATCAGCTTGATCAGACTGCCTTGGTGTCCCAGCAGGTCTCAGCAAAGCCATTTTATTCAAAAGACTTTTCCAGAAACATCCTCCCTCTCTCACCAGTTTAAAAATGATCTTGAGATATTTGATTACAGCTCAATCTTATACTGGAGTGTTAAATCTCAAACTTTCATTCTGAAAACAATGACTGTGAGTAAGAGCTGACATATTGCTCTTGCCCTGGGGGAGCTCACAGTGTTTAGGGGACATAATTGCAGACAAAGAAAAAAAAAATACACTGTACAAAACTCCATGAGCCACTTTATACTATGTTTGCAACTTCTTGTGAATCCATACTTATTTCAAAGTAAAAAAAAAAAAAAAAAGTTTAAAAATTGTTTTGTAAAGCGTTGGGAGCAGGAATGAGAACAATATGTGGCTTTTGTACAGATCTTCTCATGATCTAGGAGCTCTGTTGGCAAATAGGCAGTCTTCTTTACTGGTGTCAAAATCTCTTCCCAGGCTCAGCAAGAGTTGAAGAAGCATCTTTCCACCCTTCCCAGAGACAACTACAACCTCCTGAGCTATATCTGCAGGTGAGTCCCCTGGGAGGTGATGAGCCATGGTTTCAACCAAATATTTCAAGAAGTTCCCATTAGAGGTGGAGGGAGTTTCTAGGTGAACTCAGAGATTACTGTCCAGATCTTTGGAAGGTCAAGTCTATTCATAGCACTGAGGTAGCGTCCTGTTTCCACAAGATAAGATGAAAGCTTCCCTGAAAATCCGATGGCACAAAATGGATATGCTTCCTTCCTCCTTCAGGTCTGGGATTCTTAGAGCCTGCCTAGAATTCTCTCACACCTTCCTGACCCCCTAAACATCCATTCCAGGTCACCCTTTTTATTTTTCTCAATTCCTTTCTGGGACATGCCAGAACTGTCTAGTATGTGGAATGCTCACACAACATAGTGGTTGGGAGCCTGGGCCTTCCTTCTAGATGGAGCTTTAACAGATAATTAGGTGTGGTTTCCAGATAACTCATGTGACACATGTGTGATTTGTATACTATGGAACTACAGAAATTTACAGAGAAAACAATGAAAATGACTCACAACCCCCTCATCAATCACTATTAACACCTGCACATATTTCTTTCTGGATGTTAGATAGGTAGATAATTGTATGGTGGTGTCGACCTTGAGGTTAGCAGCCCGACTTGTAATCACTATACTACCAGAGCTCCTGAGATAATTGTATACATCAATATCAATATATAGAAACTCTTGCTTAATATCAAATTGTAATCTATATCTATCTAACTTACTGAATGTATATAAACATTTAAATATGTATATGTGTATTTGTGTTTATATGTATAGTCAAGCAAACAAACAAACAAAAAACCTTGCCATTGGGTAGATTCCAACTCAAAGTGACCCTATATAGGGCTTCTGAGACTGTAAATCTTTACAGAAGCAGACAGCCACAACTTTCTCCCTTGGAGAGACTAGTGGGTTTGAACTAACAACCTTGCAATTAGCAGCATAATAACACTTAAAGAACCAGCAGGGCTGCCATCTAGACACTATAAGATTACAGTATAACTGCTCCATAGGGCTTCTGAAATTGTATATCTTTACAGGAGCAAATAAGTAGATTTGAACTGATATCCCAGCTAGCAGCCCAATGCGCCAAGGATATATATATACAGCTGAAAACCTTATCAATACCAGTAGAACACTGTTAGCACCAAAATATTGAATATTGAAACATGATGAAGAGCACAAGAATATTGTCAGATATAGTGCGAGAAAATGACCCCTCAGGTTGGAAGGCACGCGAAATATGACTTGGTGGAAGGGCTGCCTCTCAAAGGAGATTTGACTGCGATGACATGAATGGAGTGAAGCTTTCGGCACAACTCGAAATGAAGAGAAACAGCTGTAAATATCTATTAATAATCAGAACATGGAATGTATAAAATATGAATCCAGGAAAATTGGAAATTGCCAAATGAAATGAAATTCATAAACATCAATATCCTAGGCATTAGTGAGTTGAAATGGATTGATATTGGTCATTTTGAATCTGACAATCACATGGTTTACTACACCAGGAATGACAGACTGAGGAGGAATGACATTGCATTCATCATCAAAATGAACAAATCAAGATCTGTCTTGACGTACAACGCTGCCTGTGATAGGAAAATACCCATACACCTATAAGGAAGACTAGTTAATACCACTGTGATTCAAATTAATGTACCAATTACTAAAGCTAATGCTGATAAAGTTGAAGTCTACCAACTTCTTCAGTCTGAAATTGATCAAACATGTAATCAAGTTGTGTTGATAATTACTGGTGATTGGAATGCAAAGATTGGAAACAAAGAGGAAAGATCATAGTTACAAAATATGGCCTTGGTAATAGAAATGATGCTGGAGATTACAAGATAAAAATTTTCAGGACAATTGATATATTCATTGGAAATATCTTTTTTTTAGAAAAGATAAAAGATGACTATGATAGTGTAGTGTTTACGAGTCGGGCTGCTAACCTCAAGGTCAGCTAGTTCAAAACTACCAGTGGTTCCATGGGAGGAAGATGAGGCTTTCTGCTCCTGTAAAGATGATGTATAGTCTCAGAAAACCTATACAGGGCTGCTATGAGTCAGAACCGACTCTACGGCACATTACCACCACCACCATACACATGGAACTCAGTAGATGGAGTGTACGGAAATCAAATTGACTGCATCAGTAGTCTGGTAGTGTTGTGGTTATGAATTGGGCTGCTAATCTCACAGTCAGCAGTTCAAAACTACCAGCTGTTCTGTGGGAGAAAGATAAGGCTTTCTGCTCCCGTAAAGATTTAGAGCCTCGGAAACCCTGTACAGGGTCGACTATGAGTTGGAACCGACTCCACGGCACATAACAACAGCAACAACATAGGTAGATACAGATATAGATATAGATAAAGATGTTATTGTTGTTGTTAAGTGAGTTGGTTCCAGCTCATAGTGACACTGTATAGGGTTTCCAAGGAGTAGCTTGTAGGTTTGAACAGCCACCTTGAAGTTCAAATTCACCTTGCCTTCCAGGGTATTGCTATAAAATCATATAATCCTATATTAAACAAAAATGAAAATGTGGAGCTATTATTTGTCAGTATAACCCCCATCTAGGCCTGTATATTCTGAAGGTCATGTGGTTAATGTGCAAGGTCTGTTTGAACCACAAGGTTGGTTGGTAGTTCAAGCTCACCAGCCACTCCTTGTAAACCCTATACAGGGTTACTATGAGTTGGAATCGTTCCATGGCACTTAACAACAGCAATCCTCCCCTGAAGAATTCTGTGCTCAGTTTGGTTATCCTTGAAGGACACAGGCTGTGTTCCTTTGAAATGTTCTTTAAGTTTGGGAAACAAAAAGGAGTCTGAGGGGTAAGATCAGGACAGTGGGGTTGGATAGGGTAAGTTTTCCCAACTAAATTCTCCTAGGACAAAAAGCAGACTCATTATCCTGATGGGAAGAAAAAAAAAACTCAGTTCAACTTTCTTGGCCTTTCACTCAACAATGTAGTTTCCCATTTTCTTAAAACTTCTTCCTAATAAGCCCCTGTGATTATCTTGTGTCCTTCTATAAATTCTATCAAGATTACATCTTTGGAATTCCAAAAAGCAGATGCTATAACCTTCTGAGCTGACCTCTCTACCTTAAATTGAACTGGTACGGCAGATCCCTTCAGAAGCCACTGTTTGATTGAACCTTTGTTTATTTGTAGTCACCTTAATGAGACTAAGTTCACTGGTTCACTGAGAGAACTTGTCTGCAGTCTCCACTGATCACAGAGACATGTTTTATTTGGAATTAATCTGTGCATGTATGGACTGGAACCCAGTAGCAACAGTTTTTTGACTTACTCTTATATTTGCAGCACATACAAATGCACATGTAGAAATAGCCTTTGTCAAATCTGTATATAGTTGTGGGTGTAGTTCCTTTGACTTCCACATATGTTCAGCTTGAATGTCTCTGTATCCACTCATAGATTATTGCTACTATTGTTATTGCATATGTAATCGGATTTATCTTCGTTGCCTTTAACTTTTGTGCTAAACGTTTGTGGGCCAAGATAGTCTGGTTCCATCCCAGAGACCAGGAGAAAATAGCTGGGATCCACCCCTGAGATTTCCTTGGTACCTTGAAGAGCTTCCTTCTGGTAACTTCCTGTTTTCCACTGTGCTGTTTCTTGGCTGCCCACAGGTTCCTCCATGAAATCCAGCTGAACTGTGCAATTAACAAGATGAGCGTGGACAACCTGGCCACCGTGATAGGTGTGAATCTCATCAGGTCAAAGGTAGAAGACCCTGCTGTGATCATGAGAGGTAAGGCTAACCTTGTGGTGAAGGCACAGAAGACATGTTAACACTTCTCACAACACCACTCATATGTGTGCACTGTTCTGCACGGTGCCAGACATCTTTATCTGATCATCTCGTCTGAATCATACAGACCAGAGACCTTGAGGTAGGCAGGAAAGGAATATGTCACTTTCTAGACCACATCAGAGCAGAGAATTTAAGAGGTTTGTCCATTGGTCACACAATGCAAGAATCTGGCACTAAAACTCTTATCCAGTTTCATAATCTTTTATTATTTTTAAATACCCCTAGTCAGAGAGGGCAAATACATTTTATTTTGTACACCAATTCACACAAAGACTGATTATAAAGCTGGGTTGAGAAGGCTTCCGAGGCTGTCTTCCTGGCATTAAGTACCAATGTCTGCTGTTGTTATGGGGAGATAGGATGCCAGGCACATGTTTGCTATCTAGAAAGCCAATAAGAACATAAACTGTCCTATCGAGGACCCCAGCAAGAGAGAAAGATGTCTTCATCTTCTCTACTTAATGTTGATTTTCTTGATCAAAAACTGTTTCAGAAAATAACCTTAACAACTCCCTTCCCTTTCTTTTTCTACTCTATATCCTTTTTCTATTCCACCCCCTCACAGGACAACTCCCCACCTCAACATTTATGGGGGTTTCTATGAGGAGCAAAGTGGCGTCTCATAGATACATAGAGTGTCTCTTCAGTCACTGTGGTTTTAGAGACAGATTTAGGGACATCACTTGGATGGGGGACTTTTGTGGGCTGCCAACCTTCTGCCATGGGTCTAGCCTATAAATACATTTCTTCTTTCTTCCAGGGACTCCTCAGATCCAAAGGGTAATGACTATGATGATTAGAGACCATGAAGTCCTCTTCCCCAAGTCCAAGGATGCACCCCTGTCACCTCCTGCTCAGAAAAATGACCCTAAAAAGACTCCAGTGGCCCGAAGCTCTGTGGGCTGGGATGCTACTGAAGATGCCCCAGTTTCTCAGACAGACAGTTTCAATAACACGGTAAGGTACCCTCCTTCGTCCATATGTCTGTCCATTTAGTCCAGGCTATCTGGTAGCGTAGTGGTTACGAATTGGGCTGCGAACCTTAAGGTCAGCGGTTCGAAACTACCAGCCGCTCTGCGGGAGAAAGATGAGGCTTTCTACTCCCGTAAAGATTTACACCCTCGGAAACCCTGTACAGGGTCGCTTTGGGTTGGACCCGACTCGATGGCACTTAACAACAACAACAAATCCCATCTAAGAGCTTTAGGTGTTTGGGAAGATGGTATGGCAAAAGGCCCAGCTGGTGCAAACCCATTGGAACACAGTTTGAAAGTCTGTCCTCTTTTATATAGTCTATATTTGTGCCCAAGGCATCCTGAAGGGATGGTTAATGCCACATGTGCCAGTCACTCAATGACTTAGCAAGGGGGATCCTCACTGAAGACTCCTCCAAAAGAGAAACTCTTTCAAACATAGTCCAGGGAAATGCAACCGGAAACAATTACGTATATGATATTGTAAATGTTTTGGTTAAAGTTGTTGACAATTCTGGCTCTAAGTCCAGAGAGAACTGGTTTCCTGCTAACTCATGAAACATGATTTATTTCTGAGCGATGTGATGAATTCGTGTAATATTTCTCATTCCCTGATAAGCCTTCTCAGCAATGTCAGCCCCTCGTTTGTACTGGAAGTGTTGGGGCTCACGTTCCCAGTGTCTAAAAACTCTGCAGACTCTGAAATTTAGATTATTTGAGGACAACGGTTTACAAAGGTCAAATATTTTTATATATGAAGGGGCTTCAAAAAGTTCCTAGAAATGGACTTAAAAGATAATGGAATTTTTCTAAGAACTTTTTGAAGCTCCTTGTATTTATAGAGATGCATATTTGTTAAAAGGACATGGGAACTTTAGGATTCTTTATGCATGACCAAAAAATGAATTCAAGATTTCTGGCTGACCAGGTAATTTATGTTATCTATAATACAGTTGTAGTGCTATGGGTTAATGCCCCAGACTGTAAAGTCATTTGAACTGCAAAGTCGGCTATTCAAGCTCACCAGCTGCTTCTCAGAAACCCTGTACAGGGTCGCTATGAGTTAGAATCGACTCGACCGCACTTTAACAACAACATAATACTGTTTGGAGTGCTGGTGTGGCACTGTGGATTAATGCACTAGACTGCAAGGTCGTTTGAACCACAGTGTTGGGGGTTCAAACTCACCAGCTGCTCCTTGAAAACCCTATACAGGGCCACTATGGGTTGGAACTGACTTGACAGCACTTAACAACAACAACATAGTATTGTTTGGAGGCCTAGTGTGGCGCTGTCAGATAAACATTGGATTGCTAACCTCAAAGTTGGTGGTTCAAACCCACCAGCCTCTCCTTGGAAACTCTATACAGCGTTGCTGTGAGTTGCAACCAACTTGACGGCACTTAATAATAATAACAACATAGTTCTGTTAATCCAGAGAACAATTAAGAAAATGTTGACAAAAAATAGTGGTAGTGGTTATGAATTTGTTAGGTGGCATCTGTCTGCACACAATGCATCTTATGAATGCTGTATGTTTCTGGACTTACTAAAATTGAGAAAATGCTCATACTTCACCTAGTGAAATATTCCCAGCATCCTTAAGATTAGTTATTGTTATGCTTATCTGATAGGTTGTTATTGTGGTTAGGTACTGTCGAGTCAGTTTCCCCTCATGGTGACCCTGTATAGTGTTATCCAGGAGCAGCTGGTGGGATTGAATTGCCAACCTTGAGGTTAGAAATCCAGCGTTCATCCACCAGAACCACACCAGAACTCCCATTTGATAGGTGTTATTGTTGTTCATTGTTGTCACAGTGACCCTATAGAGAGTTTCCAAGGAGCAGCTGGTGGGTTTGAGCTGCTGGTCTTGTGGTCAGTGCCTACCGTACAGCGCTACACCAGGACTTCACTTGGCAGGTTCCAGTGGGGGCTGTTGTGTGCTGTGGAGTCAGTTCTGACGCATAGTAACACTGTATAGGGTTTCTGAGGCTGTAAATCTTTATGGGAACACAAAGCCTCATCTTTCTCCTGTGGAATGAAGTGGTAGTTTCAATTGACCTTGAAGTCAGCAGCCTGACTCATAACCTCACTGTTTATTGTCTGCTTCTAACAGACATTGTACTGGGCAATGAAAACAGCTCACCTCACTCTAACTCTATAGGACAGAATTTATTCACATTGTATGATTGAGGGAGGAGCTGAGGGTCAGAGAGGCTAGCCAGCTGGCCCAAGGTGGCAGGCCCACTGTATTTCATGTTAGGACTTAGAATTATCTGCTGTTCTTAAGTGCCTTTGAGTTGGTTCTGAGTCATAGAGACTCTGTATAGGGCTTCTGAGGAACAGCTAGTAGATTTGACCTCGTGGTTAGCGGTCAGGTGGTGCTTATCCTACAGTGCCCACACCAGGACTCCTTAGTTCTCCAGGACTGCTATAACAGAAGCACCCCAGTGGATGACTTTAATAAACAGAAATGTACTCTCTCACAGTTTAGGCGGTTAGAAGTTGGGATTCAGAGCGTGGTTCTAGAGAAAGGTTGTTGTCTTCTTTCAGCTGACCTTGGAGATCTCCATGTGTCTTGGCATCAATCTGTCCTTGGATCTAGGGGTTTCTTAATGCAGGGGCCCCAAGTCCAAAGGACACACTCCACTCCTGACTCTTCTTTCTTGAGGGTACTGGGTTCCTCCTTCTGCACTCACTTCTTTCTCTTTTTATCTTTGTAAGATCAAAGCTGGTGTAGACCATATCCCCGGGGGACACTTCCTTTCAATTGATTGGTGGCTCCTAGCAGTTCTTAGGGAAATGAATGTTTCACATTAGGTCTCTTCATGGGGGATGATTACGTTTTAACTGCTAACCCACTAAAAATGCTGGCCCTGTCAAGCAGACCCATGATCTTAACAATGGAAAGGACACAAATCTAGTTCTGACTGCACAGCCCGGGAATGAGGTTGCCAAAGCAGCTGATGAGAGTCCCATTGTGGCGCTGTAGCACTAGACCACAAGGTCGAGTTGAACCACACGTTTTGTCATTGTTTTTGTGAGTGCCGTAGAATCAGTTCCAACCCATAGCGACCCTGTATAGGGTTTCTGAGGAGCGGCTGGTGAGCTTAAACTGCTGACTTTGTGGTTCAAGCCAACTTTGCAGTCCAGCACATTGCCACAGGCAGTTTAAATTCACCAGCCGCTCCTTGGAAACCCTATAGGAGGTCACTTGGAGTTAGAACCAACTCAGTGGTGGCACTTAACGACAGTAACAAGGCAGCTGATTAGTTAGAAAGATTGAAGAGCGTGCTTGAGTAAAGGTTTTCTGATTTTACATTTAGAGTTCATTCTTTTGGCTTTCTTTTTAATTTAATTTTTAAGTGTATGGCATATACACAATGGTTCAGAAATGCAAAAAGATAGAAAAAAGTGTGCATTGCAAAGTTCTGCTCCCTTCTCTTTTCCTATCCTCCCCACCTTCCCCTCCTGCCTTTATTAGTTTGCTAAAGAATTTTATCATTTCCCTATTCCTTTATGCAAATATAAGCAGATAGGAATGTAAATTTTTATTTCTCTCCTTTTTGCACACATTGTAGTACTATTATATATAGATATAGATATAGATGGACTCTGAACCTTAAGGTCAGCGGTTCGAAACTACCAGCTGCTCCGCGGGAGAAAGATGAGGCTTTCTACTCCCGTAAAGATTTACACCCTCGGAAACCCTGTACAGGGTCGCTATGGGTCGGACCCGACTCGAAAGCTTTCTACTCCCGTAAAGATTTACACCCTCGGAAACCCTGTACAGGGTCGCTATGGGTCGGACCCGACTCGACGGCACTTAACAACAACAACAACAACAAAGTATATCCTGCAGATTTCTTTTGTCAGTACACAGACAGCTACCTCCTATGACCACATATTTTAAGTAGACTTATAGTAAGGAGCTCTGGTAGTGTAGTGGTTACGAATCGGGCTGTGAACCGAAAGGTCAGCAGTTCGAAACTACCAGCTGTTCCGTGGGAGAAAGATGAGGCTTTCTGCTCCCATAAAGATTTACAGCCTCAGAAACCCTGTTCAGGGTCGCTATGAGTCGGAACCGACTTGACGGCGCATAACAACAACATAGTATTCCAAAAGGAGGTGGTTATGAGTCTCGGACTGCCAACCGCAAAGTCAGCAGTTCAAAACTGCCAGCCATTCTGCAGGAGAAAGAGGAGGTGTTCTGCTCCCGTAAAGATTTACAGCCTGGGAAACCCTGTGCAGGTTCACAATGAGTTGGAACCGACTCCACGGTACTTAACAACAACATAGTATTCCAGGAGCCCTGGTGTAGCACTGTGGGCTAATGCTGTCAGACTGCAAAGCCATTTGAACTGCAAGGTCGGCGGTTCAACTTCACTAGCTGCTCCTTGGAAATCCTATACAGGGCTCCTAGGGGTTGGAACCAACTCAACGGCGCTTAACAACAACATAGTATTCCAAGGATTCCTAGTGATGCATTACTTAAGTGCTAGGCTGCTAACCGAAAGGTCGGTGAGTCACACCCACTAGCTGCTCCATTGAAGAAAAGGCCTGGTGATCTGCCTAGGAAACCTTATGGGGCAGTCCTATAGGGTTGCTGCAAATTGATGGCATAAAGCAACAAGAAAAACATAGTGTTCCATTATATTGTTGTTGTTAAGTGCCGTCGAGTCCATTCCAACCTATAACGATCCTGTATAGGGTTTCCGACGAGCAGTGGGTGGCTTTAAATAGTGGATGTTGTTTATCCTCTCACAGATCAGAAGATTAGAAATCCAAAATTGGGGCACTGTCTCTAGGAAGGCCCTCCTTCTGTGGGTTCTGAAGAAAGATCCTTGTCTCTTTGACCCTTCTGTAGTTCCAGAGTTCCTTGGTTCCTTGGTCGTCTTCACATAGCATCTGTGTTCCTCTTGTTTGTGCTCTTTTTATAAATCAGAAACGGTTCAGTTTAGCGTACACCATATATGGTTATGGACTCATTGATAAAAGCAAAACAAAAAACCCCTCTATTTTCAAATAGGGTTATTATTTTTTATTTTATTATTTACACAGGTATAAATAAAGATAAACCTATGGATATACTCCTAGGGGTTAGTATTCCAGCACATTTTTGTCAGATTGGGGAGACACAATTCAATTCAAAGCACATTGCCTTCAGCCCTTTGCGCTAAATAAGACTACAATGAATAACCTTGATTGGGCCTCATTCTGCATTCCGGCAGTTAGATTTCTTGGATAAATTCTCAGAATCAGGATTGCATGGTCCAAGGGTAAATGATTTAGTAATGTGTAATTTTGATAAAAGGAGTCCTGGGGTGGCACTGTGGGTTAATGTGTCAGATTGCAAAGCCGTTTGAACTGCAAGGTTGGCGGTTCAAGCTCACCAGCTGCTCCTCGGAAACCCTACACAGGGTCTCTATGGGTCAGAACTGACTCAATGGCACTTCATAACAACAATTTTGATAAAATTGCTAAATAGAAGTTGTACCATTTTGGATTCCCACTAATAGTGCACAAAAGAACCCATTTCCCTACAGTTTTACCAACAGAGTTTCTTATCAAATTTTGAGTTCTCATTTGTCAGATGACAACTAGTATTTCAGTAATTTTCATTTTAATTTGAGATGCATCTATTATGAGAGAAATTGAACATCTCTGAGGTCCAGCTGTAGTTTTTTTCTCTATGAACTGACAGATTTTTTTTTTGCCCATTGTTATATTGGTTGTTCTTTATCTCCTCAATTTTTATGAGTCTTTCATATTAGGGAGAGTAACCATTGTCTGTGATTTGCATTAAAAATATTTTTGTAGGTTTGTCATTTATATTTTGATTTATCACTTGGTGATTTGTTTTATTTTTGTTCTTTTGGATATGTGTGTGTGTGAGAGAGTATCTTCAAAAAGTTTGTGAGAAAATTCCATGCTCTCTTAATTCAATTTTTCCATAAAATTTTTAAAATTCTCTCACATGCACATGCACACACAGCTTTTCTTTGTTTTGAAGGGAGATCATGCAGAATCAAGTAGGTTGAAATTTCAGTCTTTCCTTTTAGATTTTCAGTCACAGTTAAAAAGTCCCTGCCATTCTAAGGTTGTGAAGAGGTCCTAATATAGAACTTTTTATCACAAAAGTAGACTTACTTTTAGTCAGTACATCACCTCTAGAGTATCAGTTCCTATAAGTGAAATATCCTTTTGAGAAAATGCCAAGGTGATAATCCACTAATGTGATAAATTCTGAGATGATCTTATAATTAGGAACCTCATAGGTTTACAGTCGGGAGACTTTTCTTCAGAGAATTTAGATATTTTCTATAAATGCAGATATTTTTCTAATCCTGATCTTGGGAGCATGACACCTGAGTGGGGGAAAGCTGTATAATATCTATAGTGGGTTTTTCTACACAAGTGACTAGAAAATCCATATAACATCTATGACCATTTTTTTCTAGACAAGTGACTCAGATACAACAAGTCCCACTGGATTTCAGCTGAGTGACACATATATGGATGACAGCAGCAAATCTTCCAGAGAAAATCCAGGAGATTGGAAGCTGCAGTCGAGGAAAAGGACACAGACACTCCCTAACCGGAAATGTTTCTTGACTTCTAGTTTGCATGGCTCCAGCAGCAGCAAAGTGGAGATCTTTCAAAATGAATTCTGGTCACCTTTAGAGACCAAGGCAAGGGAAGGGCACCAGAGAGCAAAGTCTCAAGATTTGCGTCAACTTTCAGACTTCCAGCGGACTTCCACTTATGATAACGTCCCTACTCTCCCAGCATCCCCTGAGGACAAAGCAAGTGCACCTTCTTCCCACACCTGTGACTGTAAGAGAGACACTCTTGCCAGCCCCAACTCTGAAGCCGGACCTAGAATAAAGGACTCTGTAGAACAGGAACTTGAATCTTCCCAGAGACTGGTCCAGGAACTACTAAAGGAAATAGAAACACAGAAGCAGACATATGAAGAACAGATTAAAAAGTAAGTCACATCCCGAGGAGCACTGAGTGGCCACTAGCTTCCATCTTTAGACTCATCTGTCAGAGAGGTGATATTATAATTCATTTAGGGAATACAGTGAACTATACCAGAGGAGCTTCAAATAATAAAAGGTGTGATGTGATGACTAAATTAGTGAAAACTCTAAATTTTAGATTAAATTTATAAAATTTATATCTAGCTTAAGTAGTCTAATAAGCTAATATGAAATAGTGGCTCTTTAGGAATCAATATCCTTTAATGAATTAAAGAATTTCTGAGTTTGAATTTTTCATATTAATCATTCATTGGCTCCACAAATAGTTATTGAGTACCTGCTATATGCCAGGTGCAGAGGAATAGCACTGAGCAAAACAGACAACAGTTCCTGCCTTTATGTCCTGTAGAAGGGACAAACAATAAAAAAAATTAAGTAAATTAAAATATATGCTATGTCAAATGATGCAAAATGCTATGGAGAAAAGGAAAACCAGTAGGAAGTTAATACCTTCAAGAAAGGTGGTGGTGGTGGTAGTCATGAGCTGTTGGTTCAGACTTACAGTGACCCTGCAAATCTTTACAGGACCAGAAAGCCTCATCTTTTTCCTGTGGAATGGCTGATAGTTTTGAACAGCTGACCTTGAGGTTAGCAGCCTGACTTGTAGTAATGTTAAAGTGTGGGTCAGGAAGTCTTCACTGAGCAGGTAGCATTTTAGTAGAGGGCTAGAGGAGATGAGGGGACAAGTCAGATGTAAGGTTGGATGGGAACACTACAGGAAGAGAGAACCACAGTTTAGAAGCCAGAGAAAGGAGCAGGGTCTGGTGTTCATGGACAAAAAAAAATGGTGTGGGGAACTGGAACAGGTAAAAGATGGGATCTGGGAGGTAAAGGAGGCCAGAGCACAACGCATAGGGCTTTATCAGCAACAATAAAGCCAGAGGAGACGGAAGCCAATGGAAGCTTTGACCCAACGTATGCTTCGTAGCATCACTGGCTTCCAACTAAGTGAGGCAAATGGAATTGGGAGACTAGTTAGTTACAGTCATTGTTGTTGTTGTTAAATGCTGTTGAATCAATTCCATCTCATTGCAAGCCTGGACATGTTTTCCAAGGAGAGACTGCTGGCTTTGGACTGCTGACCTTGTGGCTAGCAGTTCAGTGCTTATCCTACAGCACAACACCAGGAATTGGAAGACTACTTATTTATCACCATAATCTCATATAAATCCCTAAGATTCTTAGACACAATTTTTTCTCTTGTATAGTTAGACAAAGAATTTCCTTGGAATATTTTTTTCACACTACAATTGGCCATCAAACTCTCTTTCACAAAAGAAAACCTCAATCTAGCTGTACCCATGTTGTTGTTGTTGTTAAGTGCCATCAAGTCAATTCTGACCATTTCAGAACAGATCATAAAATAGTGAAATGCGAATTAATGGGGTTTTCATATTGAGGATGGAGTCTTGTTGTTGTTGTTGTTGTTGTTATGTGCCGTGGGGTCGGTTCCAACTCATAGCGATCCTTGTACAGGGTTTCCAAGGCTGTAAATCTTTACAGGAGCAGAAAGTCTCATCTTTCTCCTGCGGAACAGCTGGTAGTTTCGAACTACTGACCTTGCAGTTCACAGCCTGATTTGTAACCACTATGCTACCAGAGCTCCTTAACGATGGAGTCTTAGGGTCATGCAAATGGTAAAGGTGTTCTGCTGCAAATGCTAACTGCATAGTTGGAGGTACAAGTCCACCCAGAGGTAACTTAGAAGGAAAACAAGGTGATCTGCTTCCCCCAAAACCCAGCCATTGAACCTTATGGAACACACTTCTACTCTCACACACATGGAGTTGGCGTTCATGGGAGTTGACTTGACATCAACATGGTTTTGTTTTGTTTTGTTTTTTCATATTAGGGATACTTTTCAGTTCATTAAGACTCAGGTAAGGGAAAGGAAGACTTTTGGATCTCCTATCCATTTTTCCTCTACACTAGGTTAATCCTGTAGAAATAAAATATAGCTACTTTGTCTAAGAACCGGAAATCAACAATTTGTGCAATGTCAAGACTTTTATGGCTGTGCCTGAGTGTAGGGGAAGTGGGAAAACGCTGGCTGCCATGTCGGGGCTATATATCCTGGATCTAGCAAAATTCTCAGTTCACTTGTCCAGGAAGGCTCTCGTCCACATTAGAGAAAGGTGAAGAAGTAGTCCAACAGAGCCTGCTCTAAGGTTCAGGCCGTCTCATCTCATCCTGACAACAATCTCAAGAAGTAGGTAATATTCCACGTTATAGATAGGAAAGGGCTTTGGAAATATCGACAGACTCTTGAAAGTCATAGAACTAATTATTGGTGTATGAAGGGCTGGGATTTGGACCTAGGTCAACCAGTCTCCCAAGCCCATTCAGTCCTTTTCCACTGAATTTAATGGTCCAGATCTATCACAATGTTCCATTGGTATTTTCCATAGAGTGAGAGGGATGTGCAGAATTTAGAAAAGAAAATTAGATTTACCATTGTTGTCATTGTTAGGTACCATTGAGTCGGTTCTGACCCACAGCGACCTTGTATAGGGTTTCCGAGGAGCACTGGTGAGCTTTAACCACCTGACCTTGCAGTTCAAACCGACTTTGCAGTCCAGCGCACTAACCCACAGCGCAGCACCAGGACTCCAGATTTATCATTGGAGGACTGGAAAGACTGACACTAATTCAGTTTTGAGAAGAGAAGGGCAGGGGTAGGCAAGACTTTGAACAAGGATCAGTATCCATAGAATGGGCCGAGGCCTTTGAAGATGACACCCAAGGCATGGGCTGAAATGGAAACTGAAATGTCCTTAGGAAAATTGGCAGTTGTTCAGGGAAAATGTAATCCACAGCCCACAAAATGAAATTCTGAAGTAAATCTCTTATCACAATCTCCTTGTAGGCCTAAAGTTCCTTCCTTTAGTGTTAATATGAAATATGTACACTCATTCTGTAAGAGTTAATTCAGCATTGGCGGCACCTGTTACTATTGTAGGAGTTTGACCAGTTAACAGTAAAAATCCTAGAGAGTCCAGGATCCCTGCAGACCTGAGTGGGGAATCAGAACTGAGTGTGGGATTGACAGGACTACTGCTATCCAAAGGATCGATCCCCTTGTTCTCCAACTTGTGAGTCCTAGGAGTCCCGTCATAGAAGAAAGCTCTGACCTCTGCTATCAATGGAAGAAAGATGAGTAAGCACTCATGTACAAAAAGGTGTTGGGAATCCCAAGTATGGATGGAGCTTCACCAGCCAATCAACAGTTTCTGTTGAACAGGACTGATGCAAAGTGATGAGGAGGTAAAAAATAAATATATTAGAGGTGGTCCCTTCTTTCAAAGACTATTATTGAGTTGAAGATACAAAACAAAACTACATGAAAAGCAATAATACGAGTGACATCACAAGAGAGTGTTAAATAACAAAGGAGAAGCTGAGTTAGACTGTGAATTCAGGTACGCTTGGGAAGGACAGGTTGGATATGCGTAGTTGGAGAGTAGAGAACCTTGTGATTTGAAAAGGATGAAGAAAGGAGTTCATGAGGAGGGGTGAAGGAAGAGTCTTGAGTTGATCTCTCTTCTATCTTTCTTTTCTCTTCTTCTTCTAGCCTTGAGAAGGAAAACTATGACGTCTGGGCTAAGGTGGTAAGGCTCAATGAAGAGCTGGAAAAAGAGAAGAAATCTGCAGCCTTGGAAATCAGCTTCCGCAATATGGAATGCTCCCAGGAGGATGTTGAGAAGGGAAACAAGGCCTTGGAAGAAGCCAAAGATTTTGTTAAATCAGTGAAGGAGCCCAAGACTGATGCTTGAGGGTCTTGGGAATACCACAGGACAGCCCAGGAGATGCTAACGCTTCTGCCTTTCTCAGTGCTACCTGAGGACTTGGAAGAAAAATTATTTCCAAAGAGGGCAAAGACATTTTGGGTAAAATATCACAATTTTTAGTAATTCAGTCAATGGAATGTTCAAGAAGATGAGGGTAAGAAATGGACATCTATGGTCATCCTTGCTGTATTCAAAAGTAATGTTATTTCCTTGTGGTCTCAGACAGAGTGAGAAGGAACCTTCCACCACTTAATGACTGTGTCCAGTGGAGCCATCTGAGGCAGACCACATCTCAGAACTCAGACAACAGACCAGCCCCAACTGAGGCTGGGCTGAGACCGCCCTTCAGTTCCTTGTTTTCTGTGTGAAACCACCCACTTAGTCAGATGGCTTCAAGTCGCCTCTGAAACACAGAAACAGAAAATGTTATTCAGCTTTCAAGTGTTCACTCATGGTGTGATCTGTTGATGGCACTGCATCTGCTAAAGTCAGAGTCCCATTCTGCCATCCACACCATGATGCACACACTCAAGGGGTTGGAAATGCAATATTGATTGATATTGTTGTTATTTAGAGAAATCAAGCAACAAAAATTGTATTTATAAAAGCAAAAATCAATGGGACAATGATATTCAAATAAAGCAAAAGAAAAGAAAAAAAATAGCAGAACCATTGCTAAGCTGTATAACACTTTTTGTGAGCATTTTAAAAGGCCCCTACCTTGAGCAGATGTTCTCCAGGATACAGGTTGGATTTCAGCTCTTTGGTGTCTAAGACCTGTACAAATGTATAAGGTAGGGCTTCAAAAAGTTCATGGAAAAATGGAATTAAAAGAACAATAAAAATGTTTCCATAAACTTTTTGAAGCCCCACCTTATATGGAAGGTCCGGGAGTAAAGAGCCACACTATGATGCGTCCTCTTGAAAGACTGGGGGCCATGATAATATCTTTTTTCTATTTTACCAAAATGCAAATGATTTCACTCCTGAAAGCAGGGGTAGGGAACATAAGGCCCACAAAAACATTTGGTCTAGTCCTGCCAAGGCAACTGCAGTTCCAGCCATCACATTGTTGTTGTTAAGTGCTGTCAAGTCACTTCCGACCCCTAGCAACCCTATCACAGGGCTTCCAAGGAGCAGCTGATGAGCTTGAACCACCGACCTTGCAATCCAAACTGACCTTGCAGTCCAACACATTATCCTGCTGTTCCACACCAGGACTCCAGACATCATCTTAGGGGTGAGGTAATGAAATATTTGACCAAATATAGCATGCTAATTTTTAGGTTGATAATTTTGTATGGCCTGCGGATGATATTATAAAAAAGGGTTTCCCACACATACCTTAAAGGGGAGTCTGACCCTGGAAAAGAACTGGGACTGGGGCTTTTCCAACACACAGGTGACTAGTGTCCATCCCCAGGAAGCTACTTTGGCAGAGGTCCTGGGTGAAAAGACCTTACCAGGTAGTAAGGTTGAATCTTTTATGCCTTTGGTCATTGTTCTACTTAGGAGGTCTCCAAGATTCTTTGATTGTGTACCCCACCCATGGAAAACGTTTTGAGTATACACTCCACTCAAATACAAGTATATTTATTTATTTATAAATTAGCACATGTCAAAAACAAAAAACAAACCCGAAACTCACTGCCATCAAGTCCATTACAACTCATAGCATTTCAGTGTAAGTTTCCCAGACTGTGAATTTTATGGAAGAAGACATCTTTTTCTCGTGCAGTAGCTGGTCGGTTTGCACCTCCGACCTTGTGGCTAGCAGTCCAATGCTTATGCTATAGGGCCACTAAGGCTCCTTTATATACATGTAATGTGGCATTAATGTTATTGTTAAGTGCTGTTGAGTTGGTTCTGACTTATAGTGATCTTGTATAGGGTTTCTGAGGAGCATCAGGTGGGTTTGAACCATCGACCTTGAGGTTAGAGGTCCATTGCATATCCTATAGTGTCACACCAGGACTCCATGGTATTAATACATCATGTTTATTATAATGCCATAAAAACAAATATAAATAGATATTCTCAACCTTCCTTTCATCTGTGGAGCCCATTGGTCTGGTTTCCCTGTGCTGGTTCTGATATCCCATCCCATTGCTTCCATACATTTACTTGGACTCTTGAAGTCAATGTGGCTTACTTAGGGTTTGAAATCCAGTGTTGTCTTGGTGAGGGTTTTTGCCTTACCCAGCCTCCTCTGTTCTTCCTTTTCTTCTTTGTCTGTTTTGTTTTCTTACTTTTTCTTCTCCTTTCTTTTCTTTCTCCACTCTGGAGTCTTATTCCTCCCCTGCCTGTGGCCCACTGAAACAAAAAGGTACAAAAATCAAAGTCTGTGTTTCTTAACACTGCTGCTCAGACCTACTGCAGCCCTCGGGGAGCCAGACGGATGGAGGGTAAGGACAATACTGACAGAATTATCTCGATCCTGTAGGACTGCTTGCAGAAGATTTGCAAAACGGATTTGGAATATTACCATATTTTCCCCCAAATAACTTGCACATTCTTTGGGTTTTTGCAGACCATGCAACTCCCTCACATGTTAGCTTCCTATGCACACTATATGTGTTATATGTATGTGCATGTTATTTCTGTGGGTGCATTAAATGCACAGGAAAAATACAGTAATAAGTAAAACAGTAAATGCTTTATTTCTTGGGGTTTGCTCATTTTTCTAGCTAATTACATACCTAATTTACATTCCATCACATCCCTGCAGATCTGCCAAGGTTATATCTCTCTGTTCTCCCATTGATTTTTCATGCTGTCTCTTTAGGTACTAAAGCAGAGTTGAGTATGGAAATGCTGGCTTCACAATTCCAAATGGAACATATGTTTTAAGGTACAAAGATTTTAAGTCTATTTTAAGCCCCTAGGCCTATTTTGAGATTCATGTTATGGGAGTGCAGGCTGAGTGGCAGTGAACCCCCATTCTCTCCTTATCTAGCAGTGCCTTTCACTCCATCATCCCTTCGAGTTCTATGAGAGAATAGAGCAGTTTCTGCAGTTCAGGGTGCCCTGGACAGCTCAGGAGTGTCAATCCCTCTTCACAATCGAGAAGTGGAATCCAGTATGCTTTAACTTGTCAACATTTGGTCCTGCCTCACCCTCCATATAAGGATTGTTACGACAGAATAAGAAACAGAGTTCTTGCAGCATCCTGGGTCCTTGTAAGCAAAAAGGAGGGGCAGGGAAGAAGCTCTGGGGTTTTGTGGCACTATTTACAGTGATTCACAAGTCTATGCATGACAAGGAAGCTCCTAGCCTCAGCCAGACCAAGGGGTCAGTTTCCAGAAGGCAGTGCCTGGAGATTGACCTACGCCATTGGTGTTCTGTTGGACTCAGGAGGTCCCATTCCTCCCTGCTTTCAAAGTCTTTTCTTTGTGAAGATTCTACTAAATCTGCCTTTTTCCAGCCCCTCCACCCCCACTTTATCCCCTCTTAGATCTGCTCAGATTCAGATGCTGACAATTTAAATGTTTTAACAAGGTAAAAAATTAGCACTGAAAACCCTCTTGCCCTTTTTCCTACCAAAGTTGCTCTTCTCCCTCACAGCTTCAAGCATGACACGTATCAGAGTAAAATTTTCTTTTAATTTTGAGACAGATTTGGTGGTTTTCCAGTAAGCTTATGTACCAGATAAGAAATTCTGTATTAGAGATTCGATGGGAACATCCAACTTCAATGGCTAGGGGTCAGAGTCTGAGATCTGAAGAGATCAAGTACACCATAGTCCTAGTGCAGAGCTTGCTACACAGGATGTAAGCAATAAATAATTTTTAAGACATTGATTTGTTGTTGTTGTTTTTACAAACATAGTTAAGCTCTTCTCAGAGGCCTCTCCCCTCAGAAAAGTCCCAGGCTGCTGAGGGAGGCTGACAGGGAGCAGAGTGGCACACCAACCTTGGTCCAGGCTCCCCAGGAGAGGGAGAGTAAGATGGGTGTGCACTGACGTCTTGTAAACTTCCACATTCCACCACTTCCTGTGCAGATATCAGCCGTAGTCTGACCACGTGCTTCCGGGGGAGCAGAGAGAACGCTTAGAAGCGGTGCCTGCAATTAAACGGGTCTGTGTTTATAAGAACCATGCTGCAAAATGGTTCATCCTGCTGCTGGGGAGGGCTGGGTGGAGGGAAGGTCTAAGGCTGGAGATCCAGCTCCACTTGAGGAACCCAGACAGCATTTGGCCAGCAGCTGAGGGAAGTCAGGAGGCTTCCCAGGACACCTCCAGGCAAGGAGTGAGCAGAGAATGTCAATACAATGTGGCATTGTAACCCTTGTTTGAAAAGGATATTAACACATTGTCATGGACTCAATTTCAACTCATAGAAGCCCTAGAGGACAGAGTAGAACTGCTAACTGCAAGGTCAACAGTTCAAATCTACCAGCTGCTCTGTGGGAGAAAGGTGAGGCTTTCTGCTCCTGTAACAAATGTACAGCCTCGGAAGCCCTATACCTGGTTACTATGAGTGGAAACCAACTCAACAGTACACCACCACCATCAACCAATCTTTTATGAAAGTACACAGCCTCATCTCTCTCCCATGAAGTGACTGGTGTGTTTGAACCACCGACCTTTCAGTAAACAGCTGAGTGCCAGGGCTTCTTTGAAGACAGTCTTAACATTGCAGAATCACAGAACTGGAAGGAATCTTTCTTTAAATTCATCTAATCTATCCTACTCATTTTAGTGGGCAGGACAATTGATGCCCAGAGTCATAGTCTGAATTGCCAATGCTCATACTGTTATGAGGAAGAGGGTGGATGTAGCTGCGTTTTGAGGACCCCTCTAACCTACAATTTAGTGATTCTTTCTTAACTTCTCCCTAGGACTCCTGGTGTGGTGCTATGAGTTAATGAGCCAGGCTGCAAAGTCGTTTGAACTGCAAGGTTGGTGGTTCAACCTCACCAGCTGCTCCTTGGAAACCCTATAAAAGGTTGCTATGGGTCAGAATTGACTCGATGGCACTTAACAA